ACATATATATATATATATATATATATATATATATAGCAACATAATGCGTGTTCAAACATTGGCAAAGTTGAAGTAGGCGCATATAATTGTTTTCTCAAATACGACTTAGTTTATGAAATTGCCACTACATGGCGCTTTTCACAGGAATTTTAAGAATAACGAATAATGTTTTATAAAGAATAGCTTTACATTTCTATATATGCACGCGTTTTTTTAGTGACCACAAAAAAGCTAGTCCAAGGACTTTTTGTACATCATTAATCAAAAATAAAAATGATTTAACTAAATCAACCCACATTAACAAATGGATTATCTGATGTTGTTGCAGGATTTTTCGAATAACTGAGATACAAATATTGTACTAGAGCGTGTTATAACAAGAAAGGCCCCCTAGTGGCACAGCGGTATGTCTGCGGACTTACAACGCTAGAAACCTGGTTTTGATACTCGTGGTGGGCAGAGCACAGATAACCCTTTGTGTAGCTTTGTGCTTAACTTAAAACAAACAAACAAATAACAAGAAAGCTGCTATCCATGAAATTTATTCTTAATAATTTGGCAAGTTTTTCAATTTTGTTTTATGAAAAGCTGCATGTACAAATAAACAAAACTATATCATACGGTTATTCGGGTTCAAGAGTGTACGAATCTTGAACTTTTAGTTGAGATATTAGAAGCTATCTTTATTACCTAAATTACACAATGGATGCACTAGTATAACAAGTGTATTATGAATGTTTCTACTAAGCATCAATGGGTTTTATCAAAGTTACAACTTAACTGTTTAAATGTTTTTAACTTTTTTTATGACTGACTAATTAGATTTGTTGTAACTATACCTCAATTTTTTATATTTTTATAGAACTGAATAGTATATTTTAACTGAACTGGTGAAGTAGAACTATAAGGTAAACACCATCCTTTAAACTAAGTACATCATTTACATATATATATAGCTTTTACAGCATTTATTGATAAGAACTAAAACAGTGGCGTTGGAAGAGAAAGGTAACTTCCTCCTTTCAACCTTTCCCAGCAAAAATGCGTCCAAAATAGGAAAATTACTTCTAGGAAAATCTGGAGAATGCATAAAATTTAATCCAGAACACTATAGTTTCCAGGGCCCTAAGGCGAGCCTTGGACCCCAGCCGTAATGGGTGCGCACATTCCTTCGCTTCTCTCGTCAAATAAACCTTGCCCCCCCCCCACACTTTTAATTTGCCTTCTGCACCTCTGCAAGTTAAAGACTACATTTATACTTTGTTGTACTTTTTTAATCTTTAAGCATAACCTTATATATCTTGAACAGCGGTAAACTAATTACTTAAAATTATAAATATAAGATAATAATGAAAAAAGTTACCACTTGGTCTTGCCAATTAAGTCCCAAAATGGTGGCTGGGTTAGTCGACATGGTCCCTCAGTTGCTTGTTTGTAGTATGAGTAGAACCGGAGGCGGAGTTCAATGGACGGTTTGAAAGGCCCTACGAAAGAAACGCATTGATCGAAAGCTTATTTCTTATGTTTCTTTAAGAAACAAGAAACTTTTCCGACATATTATCCTCGCAAACGATTAATTTGAGAGTAAATTTGTTTATAATCACAGTTAGGTGTTATTGTACTCTACAAAGAAGATAACGTAAGCAGATTAGGTAAATTATATAACTTGTACTTGTTTCTTTTAGCAGCGACTAAATCCAACAAAAACAATTCGAGAAAAATACAAAAGATTTCTGGAAAATGAGTTGTTTTGGATTTCGTAAAAAAAATTGGATTAGTGTGGTATTGTATGTTTTAAAATCAACTTTTGTTTACATTACAATATAAACAAAATTTGCTTATTAATAGGACCCTCCCAGTGCTCAAGTGTAAGTCTGCATGCTTATGACTAAAAATCGGGTTTCGATACCCGTGGTGGTTTTATTTGAAGTTAAACATAAAACACACAATGAGCTATCTGTGCTCTGCCCACCACGGCTATGGAAACCCGTTTTATAGCGTTGTAAGTCCGCATACATTCCGCTGTGCAACTAGGGAGGGGGGGGGGGGTAGGAGGTTTTCTGACAAATATTGTTGAAAAAGAACAAAATGGTAAAAACATTTACCAAAATTGGCCAAAAATTACGAAAAAAAATTGACACATTTTGCCAAAAATTAACAAAATTCAATAGGGTATGGGGCCAAATATTTATTAGTTGGTCAAAGGCAACACGGAGGGAAACTAAAGCAGCAAGGCCTCCCAGGACCTATGAACAGACTTTCTGAATACAAGAAAACGTTTAAATAAATAAAATTCGGGAAATCACATCAAATAAAACATCAAATTCCATCACTTATTTAGCATTGGATTTCAAAAATAATTCTACAAGAAGAAAGGTTAGCCCTTTTTTCTGTCAGATTGAACGTTTTTATTGAGATATCTTCATAAATGAATGAGATTTCCAAAAAAACAAACGAAAACAAAAAAATAAGGAGTATCCAACCCCAACTTCGACACGTTGGGAGTATCCAACCTCCAATTCGAGATTGTGTATGTTTATTATCTTATGCTATAAAAAAATTGTTTCTTTCTTGAATGCTGTGGTTGAAAAAGCTTCCTAGCATTGGCTTTGGAAAGTTAAGCTTTTTATTTTATAATTTTTTTCAGCTGTTTACAAACTAAAACTCA